ATTCATTATTTTGACTAAATCAATTTTAATAAAAAACACACTCATACTGACTCCTTAATATTTTTGTCTTGCTTATAAATTCAACAAAATCTACCAAAGCATAAAACATATATATTTGGTTTCAAACATTATCCACTAAATAACATTTAAGACCACGTAAATATCCTGGTTCCTGGGCATTGTCAAGCCAGTCCTACCACTCCTAAATTCTAACCCCCTTATGTAAATTAGTGAATGCAGAGGTCATTTTTCCCCAAAAGAGAGAATGCCTCTTACACAGACAATGATGTCTGCCATAAAAAGGAAAAAAGAAGAATGTCTATAGGAATTAGGCACATAAAAGACACAAAAAAGGGTATTCATAAGGAAGTAATGCTTTACAAGAGGTTCTTTAAGGACAATAGATATAGGGAAGCTACTTGTGATTTCTATAAGCATTTGGGTTATCTGACTTTTTGGAATAACTTTTATAAGCTATAATTTCTACTGATATGTACAGGTTAATGACCTATTATGGAAAATAAATATATATTTTTTAAACTTCAAGTCTACCAATAATTTTTTTTTATTTTTTTTTAAACACAGAAAAAAGATTTTCTGCAAGGTTTAGTGGCTCATTCCCAATGTTTGATTGATAGTATAGGATGCCCTAAGGAATAAGGGAGCACAGCTTGGACTGGAAGATTTTTAACACAAGTAATAAGACAGTGTAAATGGATGGGGGGCAGGGGGGAGGGAAGGAGACAGCTGAGGACCTGGGCAGCTAAGCTGAGGATATTGTCAGAAGCTAAAATTCTGAGTAGTGTTTACATATATTTTGATCATTACAGTAATCTAGCATTTAGGACTTTCAGAAACAGCTATCCAAATATTAGTTTCAGCTTATCTGCACAGTGTCTAGCAAAAAGAATAGCCACTTAATGTGATGGTTATGTGTGTTTGGTTTACACGTTATCCAGAACTACTGGATAACATCAGTATAGTCCAGACCACAGTCAATATATACATTAATAATACATAACTTTCTTTCTTGGTTATATTGTGTACTGGATAGGCTGGCGACAACTCAACGGGGGGGGGGTCACATAAAATTTACTTGGTACAGATATTGTAAGAACCTGTTCTCAAATATAAGGTAGGAAAAACAGAGCACACTCTCTCTTGCAACAGAAAGATAAATAGGTTCAATGCAAATAGTATATACACTGCATAAGAAAGAGTCAACATGCTCAAGGGAGAAAACAGTGTGACCTATTGCACAAAAGAATGCAAGTGAGAGAAATAATTGACTCACTTCTTGCTGGACAAACAGAGAGGAAAAACTGAATCTACAAGAAAGGTGGCCCATCAAATCAACAATACATGTAACAAGGAAGGATCATGTCCTCACTACAGCAAAAGGGGAGAAGAAAACTTTATAGTAACACTGTAAATAGAGTAATAACGTAAAGTACATTCTTGTGCAAAAGGCGAAAGAGTTGCAACAAGACAGTAGGAGAAACACAAAGACACAGCGTGCAAGGGAGCAGACCAACAGTGTCACTGTCATGGGAAGACTGGACAGGAGTCAGTACAACATGTTTATCTGAAACCTAGGTGTGTAACTAGAGAGCTGCACATCCGCTCTATCTACAGACCCTTCATCGCTACAAGGGCATAAAGTCTTCAAACAACCTCTCAAGTGTAACCCTTTGGTATAGCAATATGAAACAAAATGCCCCATATATAAAAAGACACACACAAAAAAAAAAGTTTGAAAAACAAACAAAAAACAACGATTGCACCTCTGGGGACATGGAATATATTACTTTAAACTGCACGGTTTGAAGCAGGTGCCAGATAAAGCCTCCCGCTGATAGTATGAAAGGCCTGTCCCTTAGCACAGCTGCTTCAGCTCCCTGCGGGCACATCACAGACACAATATTTGCAAAGAAATAAGGCAGTGCCAGCCTCACACTACAACATGCCAAGTTCCAGAAGTCCCAGGCATTTGTAATTTACAGTAACCACTTTCAAAATAAGTAGAAAAACCATGTATCACTTTAAATTCACTGGCATGTGAGACATTGGTTCATCACATCAATAAAACGGTTTCCTCATCATCTTATTACATTTACCAAGCAGATGTATTGTGCTCACAATCTCTCAAGGGCACAGATTATCTTTAATGTCTTTGCTGTGAATATACAATATACATATATCATACCCCAACTGCCACTAAATTAAAACATGTCAGAGCAGCATTATCTCAACATACACCGTAAAAATAGCACACAGTGCTGCTAAAAAAAAAAAACCATAAGGCATGACGGATTTATTGTCAGAGTTTATCTTTAAAGCCTAAACCCACTGCAATGAAAATAGTATCTGCAATGTAACACACACACACACGAAAAGCTGAAAACGTGTATCTATTTTTCAGGAGGAATGCAGCACAGGTACAGAAAACAGCAGCAATGACTGTCTCCTAAAATTTTAGGGGTAAAAAAAGGCAGTTTAACACAACCAACTGTACTGCCACCCTCTACTGTGGTAGAAGTAAACATCCCACATGTGCAATAAGGTGTTCCATTAATCAGGACATTATATGTGCCCTGATCTTATGTGGGTTACTATCCACTCAGTGATAATAATACAGCACATGAATTTGTGTGTTTTAAACATGCACACAAACACACATGAAAGGGGGAAAAAAAGCAATCAACATGCTCAATTTCCCCTCAAACACAAGAGCATATAATCTATTCACATCATATGCATTGCATGTAGAGGCAGAAATCCAATACTGCTTAACATGCACAAAACAGCCAGGTCCACTACCCCCTCACATATGCTCCTATATTTTGCCAGCAAACCATGGCAAGGAAGAAGAATACATGTATAGGCATTTAGGTTTTTGTGTAAATCCTCCTCTGGTATACGTCATCAATATGTTCTACAGAATCAGGAATAGAAATAGAGCAGTGGCAGGCCTATGCATGTAGAGTACATACAGTGTTTCCATTTGTTATCCATGTATATACACACTATGTCTCAGAAAATGTAAACATGGGCATAAAAAAAAGCACAGGAATAAACAATAAATAAATAGTTAAAGGGATCCTATAGTACCGTTTTCCTGGCACTACAGGCTCTTAGAGTGCCCCCTCCCTCGGGGCCCCCCTCCCTCCCTCCCTTCAGCGGGGCCCCCCTCCCTCCCTCCCTTCAGCCAATTACCTTAATCCAGCGCTGGGGACCTCTCCTGCCCCCGCCAACGTCAGCTCCCGAGCGGAGCTGAATGAGCAGCCAGAGGCGCGCGCATTCAAACCCGCCCATTGGAAAGCATTACTCAATGCTTTCCTACGGGGATCATTTTTGACGCTGGAGGTCCGTGAGGACGTCCAGCGTCAAATAAGTGCGATTTACTCGGTGTAAATTGCTGATGCACCTTTAGTGGCTGTCAGGGAGACAGCCACTAGAGGTTGGATTAACCCTGCAGTGTAAGCATAGCAATTTCTCTGAAACTGCTATGTTTTCAGCTGCGGGGTTAAAACTAGGGGACCTGGTACCCAGACCACTTCAGCTCAATTGTGGTCCTTTAGGTAGAATAGTGAGAACAGAGAAATAATGTCAAACAGAGCATAAAGAAATAAAGCAGAAGAGAGGTCTTGATGATATGTAATTAAGTAAAGGGTTACTCCAAGCACTATTAAAAAGCAAAGTACATTTTAGTTATTTAATGCTTGTTTGGTTTATTAAAGGATCACTGAAAAATGATCTGAAAATGCAGTGTTTACAGCAAAAAGCCAGCAGAGACAGGCTGTAGACACCAGAACAACTACATTAAAGGGACACTCCAGGCACCCAGACCACTTCAGCTTATTATATAAACTGCAATAATTACCTTGCAGGGTTAAGTCCTCCTCTAATGGCTGTCTATGCATGCGCATTAGGTCTCTCCCGCTGGCTGACGTCAGTGGGGGAGGAGCGTGGGCAGAGCCTGACCCAGCGCCGAGGGACATCGGCCCTAGATTCAGGTACGTCAATGAAGGGGTTTTAACCCCTTCAGCAAACATGAGATGGGGGGTGGGAGGGAGAGGGGCGCTCTAGGAACCTGCAGTGCCAGGAAAACGGATTTGTTTTCCTTGCACTGTAGAGTCCCTTTAAGCTGTGGTTGTTCTGGTGACTATAGTGTCCCTTTTAATTTAAGGCAGTTGGCTAGCAGGGAAAGGTTATTTTAATCAAAAAATGTGTTTTATGAAAACACAATTTTTTGTTTGAGTAACCACTTTAAAGTTAAAAAAAAAAAAAACAAAAAACCGCATCAATAACTTATTATTATTATTTATAAAGCGGCAACAAGTTCTGTAGCGCTGTACAATGGGTGGACTAACAGACAAGTATTTCTAACCAGACGAGTTGAACACACAGGAACAGAGGGATTGAGGGTCTTGCTCAATGAGCTTACATGCTAGAGGGAGTGGGGTAATGTGACACAAAAGGTAAGGGTAGGGTGGAAACGTAGGTTGGTTGGATAGAACTTCTAAATTAGAGATACTTAAATAATAAATTATCCAGTTGTCATGTTATTTAAGGGCAATAAATCATAGATAGCATTGAAAAATATTTGCAAAATCCTAGAGCTAGACAGACATATTTTGGAAGTTAAGTGTTCTTAGGAGAAATGCAAAAATTATTCCCATTTAAACAAACAATCTCAAATAGTTGAGCAACTGGGAATGTTGCTACTGGTGCATCAGTCAAGTGCAGTAAGCGCTTTAACCCCCTTAATGACACATGACATGTGTGAAATGTCATGATTCCCTTTTATTTCAAAAGTTTGGTCCTTAAGGGGTTAAAAACAAATTCAGAGTTAAATTTAAATCCCTATAATACAAAAAGTAAATAAGAGAATAAAAATTGAATAAGATGACTAATGTATAAATTATAGAAACTCTCAGTAGACACTTGCTTACAGAAAAACAATCAGCAAACGTACGAGATGATTTAGGAGTATGACATTATGACATACCTGTAACAGACACCTCCATGGTAGCTTCCAAAGGACGGTTGCTGTCGAGGTCAAGGCTCAAACTTAATTCCCCACTGCTAGTATTCAACAGAAGCAATCCTAATTCATTTCCACTCAGGAAGGTGAAGTTCAAAGAGTCACTAATGTCAGGATCCCGTGCTGGAACTTTCCCAATTACTCCCACTGGGAAACTGCCACCACCACCACCGATATAATGATTAAAGACTACTCTGAAGTCACTCAGAGTTGGAGCATTGTCATTGACATCCACCAAGCGCACTCTGACTGTTGCTCTGCTGACCAATGGAGCAGATGTGGCTTGTACCACAATTACATATTCTGGTCGCTGCTCATAGTCCAGATCAACAAGTGCTGTAAGTTCCCCTGAGAAAATATCCAGCTGGAAAACTTCTGGGATGTTTCCTTCCACAATCTGATACATTATTTGTGCATTTGGGCCTTCATCAGGATCAGTGGCTGTGATTCTTGCTAGTGGTGGTCCCAGGGGACTATTCTCTAAAACCATAACTTCCAGTTCATCTTTGGCAAACACTGGTGCATTATCATTGACATCCAAGACTGTGACTACTACTTCAGTAGGAGTACGGTGTGGGGAAGGCATCCCTTTGTCAATGGCATAGGCAGTTAGTCTATACTGCACAACATTCTCTCTGTCCAGTTGCCTTAGGGTCCGGACAATACCAGACGTATACTCCACTGTAAAGTCCCCATCCCCATCATCTCCTCCTGCAAAGGTGTAAAAGACTCTTCCGTTGAGACCAGAGTCACGGTCAGTTGCAGAAATCTGTAGGACACTTGTATAAGGGGGGGCATCCTCAGGTACAGTGCCACTATAGGATGCCCTTTGGAAGACAGGGGGATTGTCATTGACATCAGTCACCAGAATTTCCAGATAAGTTGTGTCAGATTTTTGAGGAATGCCATTATCACATGCTGTCACAGCTAATGTGTAAGAGACTTGATCCTCATAATCTAGCTCCATGGTGGTAGTAACTGCTCCAGTGTCTGGGTCTATGGCAAACTGTGGCATACCTTCTTCAGCCAAGTATGTGATGCGAGCATTCTCACCAGTATCTTCATCTGTGGCACTGATTATTACTACAGTGGTTCCTGCTGGTTGATCTTCTCGCACACTGACTGTGTAATGGGAGCTCTGAAAGACAGGTCGATGCGTGTTGGCATCTGTAACATTCACCACAGCTCGTGCAGTATCTGATCTCATCCCATCTGATGCTGTTATAATAAGCACAAACTGACGCTCAAGTTTGTAGTCAAGAGGTAGAGCAAGTGTTAAAAGACCACCACCACTAGCTAAACTTGAGATAGAGAAGCGATGACGAGCATTTCCAGAAGTGATCTGGTAGGTGATAGTAGCATGAGCATCCCTATCCACTGCCCATACAGTCAGAACACTTGTACCAACAGCTGCATCTTCATTAAGACGTGCCTGGTATTCGTGTTGAGTGAATTCCGGAGTATTATCATTGACATCTAGAACCTGCACACTTACTGAAGCTGAAGAGGACAGAGGTGGCTGACCACGATCTATTGCCTCCACGCCAAAGCTATAAAACTCCACTTCTTCCCTATCCAGTTCTGTCTGCACAATTATCCAACCAGTGCTATTGTTTATTGAGAAAGGTCCACATTCTCCTGTTAGACGATATTCAAGCCTTGAGTTTTCGCCAGAGTCAGCATCCAGTGCCTGAGCCTGTAAGACAGAGTAACCAGAAGGAGCATTCTCCAACACTGCAGCTTGGAAAGGACCACTGACAAAAGCTGGTGCATTGTCATTTACATCCAGCACCTGAATACTGACCAAACCAGTTACGTTGGATAATGGGGGTCTCCCTCCATCTTGTGCCCGTACCCTTAGTGTGTGCTCTCTCCCTGTCTCAAAATCAAGTGTGCCAGCAAGAAATATCGCACCAGTCTGTGGATCAATGGAGAAAAGACCACGAGCATTTCCACTCAAGATACTGTAGTGTACTGCAGCATTTGCTCCTTGGTCACGGTCAGTAGCAGTCACAACTAGAAGCTGTGAGTCAGTGTAAATGTCTTCTGCTACATGTGCCACATAGCGCTTCTCAGTAAATTGGGGGGCATTGTCATTTTCGTCTTCAACAGAAATGTGCACAGTGGCAGTGGAACTGCGAGGCCCAGGTTCACGTCCTTGATCATCAGCTTCAACAAGTAATTCATAGAACGCCACAGACTCACGGTCAACAGGGCCTCTTGTCCGAATGACCCCAGATCGATGATCGATTTCAAAAGCCTCACCAGCTCCAGATACCAAACGGTAGGCAATGTTGGCATTTATGACAGAGTCTCCATCTGTGGCACGAACAGTCATCACCTCGTAGCCAACCTCCATGTTCTCTCGTACACTCTCTCTGTATTCTGGTTGTTCAAAGGTTGGGTCATGATCATTTGTGTCACTGACTGAGACAGTGAGGGTGGCCATCGCTGTTCGGCGGGGGACACCTGCATCACTGACAGTCACTCTGAAAACATGGGTACTCTTGGTTTCTCTGTCTAGTTCATCTGCTGTGGTCACTTCTCCACTATTTGGATCCAGTGAGAAAAAGCTGGCAGAGCGACTATCAAAAAGGGCATCCATGGAGTACTCTAATCGCCCAGCAGCTCCTTCATCTGGATCACTAGCCCTCAGCTGCACAACAAAAGTCCCAGCAGGCTTATTTTCAGGCACTGATACTTGGTAGCTTGGTGTCTGGAATTGAGGACTTGTGTTTACATTTCGTTTGCCCCTGAGCATCGCTAAACCTTTGACTTTCTGCTTAACCAATTGTGGCAGCATTACCTTCCAGTGAACTATATGTTCTCCTTGCTTAGTACATGGTTGGCACTGCAATTTCATTTCTAATGGGTGCTGATGAGTCAGGCAGAGATGGCGAGTGGTTACCAGAATGTTGTGCCATACTGTTGCCCCAGGGCTGCCCACAGTTTGACATTGGAATTGGCATTTACCCCATGGTGCTGGTTGCACAGAGGGGAGAGGCAGCAATGTCAATCCAGGGTTTAGGCACAATTTATTTGGCTCACCATAGGGTGCAGATCTGAGGTGCAGTGTAGTGATAATATGTAGGTGCTCATGTGGACATGAAGGGACATGGGCACTGACCTGGCTGGAAATAGACAGGATAGATGGAATGTTTTGAGGCAAAGGATCAATGCAGGTCCAGGAAAACTGAAGAGTTGGATTTGATGGGCAATGTGCACTGATGGGGTCTTCCTGTACAAGTGAAACGGAACAGTTGCTATGTGGAAAATATTTAGGAAGGCCCAGTATCAGAGGCAACAGCAGCAACAGGAAAAATAAACCAGGGGTAGTCAACCAGGCTATGCCCCTGGGGAGGCCCTGAGGGCACACACATGCCATAGGTCTATGATTTGCCCACTCCTGCGGGACTGAGCATGGGTCAGAGGCAACGGTCATGTTTCTTGTGAGCAGAATATGCTTCCCGGCACATGATGAAAAAAAGTGTACGGGAACAGAGGTGAAGCCCCTAAAATATGAACTAACGATCTACTCGATAATTCTTTATGGGCACTCAAAAAACGCGAAAAGACAATCAAAGATGAAATCTTGACGGTGCATTGTATAAGCAGAAACACAGATCTCATACCACTCTTAATGCCAGGCCCAGTCGTTCCCTCTACAGGTCTCCAAGAAGAATCATTAGTCCTACTAAACACAGTGGGTGAATTCTTCCTAGGTCTGGATAAAGCATATGTAACTGTCTATAGAAAATCGACTCTGCAGCTCTGTATATCCTCCTCCTGTGTCCTGTCCAGGTTTAATCCTTCAAGACGGCAAGCTCTCTCCCCTAGTCAGCATGCACAGTGTCTGCCTCCAGGACACATACATGGTTTTTAACTGTAATATGTTTCCAGTGGGTCTCAGAATTCTGAGTTCACATAGAGATTTTCACGTGCGCACGTCCACCAGCTTCCTCCTATATCCTTCGTACATAGAAGATTCTGATCCTTGCTTTAAATCAACCTGCTCAGGTTGAAATCCCAGAAAGCTTTTTCTTAAAGCGGTAATGGTAGGTGGGGTCCACACCAATGCAAACTCTTCCTCGTCTTTTCTCTCGCTGATTTAATTGTATGGATTTACAGGTGGTGTCATGGAATAAAATATAATTCACTCTGCCTTGACTGTAAAACCCCTTAGCGTGAGCCTGCAGTAGTGTGTAGACTGTATGTCTGAGCTGCAGAATGAATGGGAATTGGCATGGGAGGGGAGGTAGGCGGAGTTGAGGGGGGAGGGTGCAGCAAAACTGAATATTTAAATATGTTAACCAGTTTAGCACAGTGAAAGCAGATGGAAAGGTACAGCTCAGATTCATTGTTTGCGTCGATATGGATGTAGAACCTGCAAATCCTGTGAGCACGTGCTGAGCTATGACTATGTATGCAGTATACTGTTAATAGGCTGGAGACAGTCACCAAATCCAAGCAAACACCTAAAGATTTCTTGTAAAAATCTTAAATAATGGCTAAATTCCACTCTTTAATTACGCAAAAGCTGCAAAAAGCATTGAACTTCACAAACCAAACATTCTTATTTTTCCAGCATTAGCAGCACAGTGTGCATCCTGAACTGCAGAAGGTTCTATTTGGATTTGTCTTGCATGGCAGATTCCACCGCCTGTGCAAACTTAGCAAGGGGGTGAGACTCCGTGCTCCTTGTATTTTGTTTGTATGGCGATGGAGGCTTTGTTAGTTCTGCATCTATCCCATGAACCTGCAGGCACCACTGAACACTTTGAGAGAGAGGCATGTGTGATTTTAAGAGGGAAATGCCTCTCAAATGGGGGAAGCCTGGCATAGAGCGGCAAGGAGGAGGTTAGTAGATCTAACACAGCTTAGTTCCACACTTTTTTTGTGTTCCGATATTTGCATATGAATAGGTAGAAACCAGAAGGGTGAAGCTTGGATTTATTCAGGGATTTTATTTTTTTTTGCAGCGTGGAAAGCTTTTAACTCATCTGAACATGGCAGCAGCCTTTATTTACTGTTTTTTAAACGTTGAGGTGTGCGATCTTTCTATTGCTGTATAAAGAAAGCATATTTTGATTATCCATACAGCATATTCTAGCAGTTGAACTTACTTGAATTTAATTTGAATTGGTTGCTTTCAACAGATTTAGATTGTCAAGGTTTGAATTCATTAAAAAAAAAAAAAAAAAATAGAATAATTAATATGTGGGGGTAACCGTTTGTTCCCAGGAGAAAACCAACTCAAATGAAGGGTCAAAAAATTTTTTTCTCTTAGAAATCTGGTGTTCTCCACATTTTGGATCAACAATATGGATTGGGTCATAACTAGCAAGATCATTTATCTTTCAACTTTCCATCACACTTCTGTTTTAGACAGACTGTTAATAAAAGTACTGTAAAACTATTAATAAAACTCATTATACAGTTATTTTGTATTTATAAAAAGGCATACTAATAACCAGCGCTCTATTATGTTTATATGTATTTACCACTCAATGTTAACATTTTTTTAAAACAACTGTCACCCCAAAAAGTTTCTACATGTGTAAAATGTAATTTAGAAATGTACTGAAGGTATAAAGATTCACTCATGTTATGTTTACAACCATGACCTTATATTTTGATAAACAAATTTAAGGCCAATTAAAATAAAACAATAAACGAAGTAAAAACATGGTTATGAAAGTATTTCTTAAAGGGACACTATAGGCACCAAAACAACTTTAGCTTTATAAAGCAGTTTTGATGTATAGATCATGCCCTTGCAGTCTTTCTGCTCAATTCTGTGCCATTTAGATGTTAAATCACGTTGTTTATACAGCCCTAGTCACACTTCCCTGCATGTGACTTGCATGTCCTAAACACTTCCTGTAAAGAGTCATCTAAGGTTTACATTTCCTTTATTGCAAACGTTGTTTAAATTTGAATTTCTAATCTCCTGCACTGTTAATAGCTTGCTAGACCTTGCAGAAGCCTCATGTATGTAATTAAAGTAAAATTTACAGAGCAGGACATAACTTTACAGTTCTCCTAGTGCTAAAATAATGAAATAAAAATAATTATTAAAGCCACAAAGGATTATATATATATATTTTTATTTTTTTTATTTAAAGGACTATATAGGCACCCAGACCACTTTAGCTCAATAAAGTGGTCTGGCTGCCAGGTCCATCTAGGGTTAACCCTGCAGCTGTAAGCATTAGGGTTAGGGTTAATCCAGCCTTTACTGGCTGTCTCATTGACAGCCGCTAGAGGCGCTTCCACGCTTCTCACTGTGATTTTCACAGTGAGAAGACGCCAGTGTCCATAGGAAAGCATTGAGAAATGCTTTCCTATGGACTGACTGAATGCGCGTGCGGCTCTTGCCACGCTTGCGCATTCAGCGGATGACGTCGGTAGAGGGAGGAGACTCCCCAGCGCCGAGGGAGCCCGGTGCTGGAGAAAGTTAAGAATTTAACCCCTTCCTCCCCCTTCAGCCCGGCGGGAGGGGGACCCAGAGGGTGGGAGGGACCCAAAGACCCTATAGAGCCAGGAAAACGAGTTTGTTTTCCTGGCACTATAGTGGTTCTTTAAAGGACCACTCTAGGCACCCAGACCACTTCAGCTTAATGAAGTGGTCTGGGTGCCAGGTCCAGCTAGGGTTAACCCATTTTTTCATAAACATAGCAGTTTCAGAGAAACTGCTATGTTTATGAATGGGTTAAGCCTTCCCCTATTTCCTCTAGTGGCTGTCTCATTGACAGCCGCTAGAGGCGCTTGCGTGCTTCTCACTGTGATTTTTCACAGTGAGAGCACGCCAGCGTCCATAGGAAAGCATTATGAATGCTTTCCTATGTGACCGGCTGAATGCGCGCGCAGCTCTTGCCGCGCGTGCGCATTCAGCCCAGGAGGAGGATCGGAGGAGGAGAGCTCCCGCCCAGCGCTGGAAAAAAGGTACGTTTTAACCCCTTTCCTCTCCCCAGGGCCAGGCGGGAGGGGGACCCTGAGGGTGGGGGCACCCTCAGGGCACTATAGTGCCAGGAAAACGAGTATGTTTTCCTGGCACTATAGTGGTCCTTTAATCTCTATTGATTTTAAAAGAGGAACAAGAAAAAAGACAAATACACTTACATAAAATTACATATAACATTACCATAAAATTTGTTAATCCGTTATCATTACATTCTTTGAACTTACTTCACTTACATAAAGACATTTAGCAAAAACAATTTGACAAGAAGTGTATTGGAAAGAAGGGGGTGTGTGTGTGGGGGGGGGGGGGTTGAACAAGCCAAATACCAGAGGGAGAGAAAGAGAAAGACAGATCTCAATCGTGGAAAATAGCAAAATATCACTAATTATCGTTTCTCCTTTTCTTCGATTCCTCCCCCTTCTTTCCCTTTCCCTCTCCCCTTCTCCATTTTGTCTTGTTCTTTAACAATCTCCAACATTACAAAAATAGTAAAGAGGCATCCTAAACATCCAATACAAAAATATTGGTGTCTGGTGAGGCAGCTCCACAATAGGATTAATACTCACTAAACTCAATCATCAGATTATTAATTTATTTTTGTTTATTCAGGGATTAGGCTAATCCATGTATCTCAGTTATAATTTTTTAGAGTAACATTTTGGTGATTCACCTCATTAAAATGGCAGACCTAGTTCAGTGTAATAGTTGTTAAGCATTTGTTTCACATTCCACTTTTTGGAGATTTGGATGCTGTCTCATCTGTAGACAGTTCTCTACATTGCGGCAGGAGATTATATTTTTGAAGTCTGAGATTTGTAAATTATCTGGTAAACAAACTCAGGCTGGAACTGCTGCAAAGCTACTGCCGCAGAGACGTAGTAGGAATGGCAGATGGATTACTGTAGGATCTGGTAGACTGAGTTGTGGATAAAAGGCATATTGCACTGTCTGTTGCTCTACATAATTCATTTTCAGGACTTTCAGAGTTTACTGGTGTTATGCAGACAGGCTCGGGCACCAAGTGTAGTGGTGTTATGGAGACAGGCTCAGGCACTGAGGGTAGTGGTGTTGTGGAGACAGGCTCAGGCACTGAGGGTAGTGGTGTTGGAGACACAGGCTTGGAGACAATGGTGAGGCCTAATAGAAAGCAGCAGTTGTTGTAAGGGGATTCTATCATAAGAGGTGTGGAGCTGGACAATGGTGGTCTTGTGAGATGTCAGAGACAGGAGACGTATTTGTAATATTGTTAAGCGAGCAAAGCAGGAAGGGAAATTGGATGTACTTGTCCATCTTAGGACAAATGACTTGGCTTGCAATGAGGTTTCCGAGGTAATGGAAGTTTTTAGTGTTTTTGCCAATGATATACGGCAGGTTGCTTCCACGCTGTCATTCTCTGAAGTTCTGCCTGTGCATAACACTCAGAACGACAGGCGGATGCGTATTAGGGACTTTAATTTGTGGCTTGTTAAATGGCGTCGGGAGGAAGGATTTGGCTTAATTTCTCATGGTAGCTCTGTTTGGAATGGAAATAAACTGTACAAAAAATTCTCAAAAGGGAACAAATGTTCTCAGTGAGCAGTTCAGGATGTATTTAAACTAGATGGGGAGGGGGAGGGGGGCACAAAGGTGATAAAATATCAATCCAACTGCCCCCCAAAACAAGGACAGAAGGTGCCTGTAGCAAGTGTGTTAAAAAATTATAAGCTTAGAGTCATGTCTACAAATGCTCGCAGTTTAGGAAATAAGATCCATGAACTTGTGGCAGTAATGGCAATTGATAATGTAGATTTAGTCGCTGTTACTGAGACATGGTATAATGAGAAAAATGACTGGGACATAGCAATACCAGGGTATATAGAAAAGACAGGGACGACAAGAAAGGGGGAGAGGTGGCCCTGTATGTGAAGGATGGCATAAAATGTAGCCTAATAAAAGTTAGTGAGGCGAACATAGAGTCCGTTTGGGTTACGTTAGAATTTGGTAATCACACAGTAACTCGTGTAGGTGTGATTTTTAGGCCCCCAGGACTAATAGAAGAGTTAGATCATCTACTAGCTGAGGAAATAGCTAAAATGACAATGAATGGGGAAGTTATCATCATGGATGACTTTAATCTTCCTGACGTGAATTGAAAAACCAAAATAGCTGCTTGTGCGAGGAGCACACATATTCTAAACTCCCTACTGGGATTGTCTCTAAAACAAGTCGTTGAGGAGCCAACTCGTAAAGAGGCCATACTAGATTTAGTGTTAACAA